GAGAGGGTCATATGCTTTTACATTTCCATTTCTCCATTGCCTTCAAGGCTGAAACTTGGATGGGATGGCTGGCACTTCAGCAGCAATCTTCAACCAGGAGGTGACCCTGTGCATGAAAACCCTTCTTTGCTCTTTAAAGGCTTTAATTCCACTATCACAGGAGAAGAGATCCTCTCTCTTCTTTTGGATGCAAACAAAGGTGGATGCTCCTAGCTGGCACTGGCAGTCATCTTGTGACCATGAAGAAAAATAGTTTATGTGTGAAACTGTTTCAAGATACCAAGCAGACTCTCAGCAGGTACCAAAGCTGCAGCAGAAAGAGGCAAACTTTCTGAATGAAATAAGAACAGGAATATAGGGGCTAGGAGAGGAGACTAAGAGGACATGGGGAGGAAAACAGCAAGGGAGAGAGGGACCAAGCAACCAGGAAGAAGCTTGTAATCTAAGCTGTAGAAATAGACAAGAGCAGTTTCAGGAGAAAAGAAATTAAAGTTGAAGGTTACTTTTGGAGCACAGAAATCCTTTCACCTTCTCACACACTCAGCAGAGTCCTCTGCATACCTGAATGCTTCATGTGCAAGATTCTTCATCAAAAATGAATGCAAAGGGGTGGGCACTGCATCTAGGCCAACCTGCTGTGGGAAGAGCAGAAAGCCCAGAGGCAAGATGGGAAGAGGAGGTAGTCAGGGCCTTTGGTTGCATACAACAAAAATGGACTCTGGCTGACTTGGACGGAAAAGAAATTTATTGGTGTCCTGCTCTTTATCCCCTAGGTCCACCTCTCAGGTCTTCGTAAGTGAAAAGCTGCATGCCTCTGAGTCCGCAGATGTTCAAGTGCAGGGCAAGTCAGAAATGCCAGAGATTTCACAACTTCAGGCTGCCTTCAAACAGTAAGGGACAGGAGTCAGTGAATAAATATCCTGCCCCCTTGTTCCTCCAAGGGACAATATGGACACATGATGGAAAGTCCACAGCAGGAATAAACCCCTGTTGCCCAGTTAATAACCTTCTTATTAACACTCCCTTTAATTGGCATTTCTCCATTCCCCAGTACACCCTGGGATTACCTCCTATAGCAGAGGTATCTTCCAAAGATGGTCAAAAAACTAGTCTATCCTATCCCATAGGCTCTTTTGGAAACTTACTATCCCTCCATCAAGAGATGGTATCTATGTCCCCTTCCCTTGAGCCTGGGAGGGCTTGTGATAGCTCCCACAATAAAATGTTGCACAAATGCTGCTGCCTGACTTCCAAGACTAGATTGGGAAAGGTCATAAAGTTTCTGCCAGGTTCTCTTGGGACACTTGCTCTTAGAAACCAGCTGCCATGCTGTGAGGAAGCCCAAGCCATATGGAGAGGCCATGTATAGTTCTGGCTGACAGTCCAAGATGAGGTTCCAGACGACAGGAAGTACCATCCACTACATGTGTTAAGTGAAGACATTTCTAGATGATTCCAGCCCTAGTCATCGAGTCACCTCTCAGACATTGTAAGGAAGAGGCAAGCAGTCCCCACTGCGCCCTATCTGAATTCCTGACCCACAGATCTGCAAAGATAATAAGATGGTTGTTTTATGCCACTACATTTTGGAGTTGTTTGTTTTGCAGCAATACTAACTAGAACATCTCCCAAATAAACTGTATGTGTACAAATCCTTACCTCAGGGTCTACTCTTGAGAGAATCCAAACTAAGACAAAAGGATATCAGCTAGATCCCAGAATTTTGCCAGCTTCCACTTTCAGGTTTGTGTTAGCCTCGGTGGAAGGCAACTCACCTTCATCCTAATATGAGTCTTAAATCTGAGTCTCACTGGTTTGGGGATAGGTAGGCCAATGTAATAGAACTGCTGACTGGCCAGGCCTGGCCAGGTCCCCCCAGTTCCCCATCCCTGAGGGATGGGTCTGCCCCAGCAACCACACAGTCTTGAGAGTGAGGAAGGGAGGCTTCCCAGAGGAAAACTAACTGCAGCTACTAGGTCTTCTCAATTTTGTTCAGTGATCAGGAGCTATGAACTTCAGGGGAGGGTAAGCCCTCTTGAGCCTAAATGTGAGTGCCCACCAAGCTAAACCAGTCATGGCGATTCTACTCCCCTTGTCAAAGGTTGGGTTAGTATGAACTCTAGCAGGGACAGTGAGAGGGGGACTATTAGGAAAGGTTTCTTCACTCTTAAAAAGAGGTACAGGCTAGGCGCTGTGGCTCACATCTATAATTCCAGCACTTTGGGAGGCCAAGGCAGGAGGATCACTTGAAGCCAGGAGTTTGAGACCAGCCTGAGCAATATAGTGAGGAAGTAAAATATATATATATAAGCTGAGTACGTTGGTGTGTGTCTGTACTCCTAGGTACCTTTAAGGCTGAGGCAGGAGGACTGCTTGAGGCCAGGAGTTTGAGGTTACAATAAACTATGATCGGGGGCAGCAGAGCAAGACCCTGTTTCTTGGCTCGGCGTCTATGGCTCAAGTGGCTAAGGCACCAGCCACATACACCTAAGGTGGCGGGTTCGAATCCAGCCCGGTCCCGCCAAACAACAAT